CCCCCCCACCCCGCCTTGTATGGTGTTATATAAGAGTGCTTCATTAGCAGCTTTTTCTTTCTTTCTTTCTTGCTTTCTTTCTTTCTTTTTAATGTTTGAGATTAGCTGGAAAGTTTTCAGGTGCCACAACATCAGGTGCCAAAAAGGGAACGTTGTTAAATGCCCATGTTTTTCCCACACAATGATACCGTATCATCAGTGAAGAGTTAGCGCTCTGTATTCGTGAATTTTGTTTGCTGTTCCCAGTTTTCCAGGATCTGGGAGGAATTACTGAGATGTGGCTGTGGCCTGAGTCGCAAGTTCTGACTTGGTTGAGGCTCCTAAAAACGTGTGGGAAAGGCTAATGACCCAAGTGATGGGGCATGTATATTGTCTAAGGCAAAACCAAACTATGAAGGTGTTTTGTTTCACTTGATATCGTTAATGTGTTGCTTAATTTTGTTACCAAGAAATCTTTGAGGCAATGTTAACTCTTGTCTCACAGGAGATGTTACAGTTCCCTGCTGGGGAGGTAGACTCACACTTGCAGCCGTTCTTAGTGATCTCCGCTCCTTCTTCCTAGCCTAGGAGAGCAATTCTGTACCACTAACGGGGTTGGAATAGTTTCTCTCAACAAGAAGATAATGTAGAATAGTGCTTTTACCTGATTTCTTTGTTTTCCCACCTATGAGATAGGGATGGGTTGATACTGCCTGACTGATCAGGAGACTCTCTGTTCTTCCTTAGAGTACTTCGTCCTTGGAGAGCAACTTGGAGGGCCTAGCTGGTGTTCTGGAAGCTGATCTACCAAACTACAAAAGCAAGATACTAAGAATTCTGTGTACTGTGTACGTATGCAGAAGGTCTGGGAATCTGGGAGGTGTTTTCTTTTCTCTGCTCAGTGGAAAAGTTTAAGTTTTTAAGGTGGCGTAAGTGCCAAGAACAGTTTTTAGTTTTCAAATGCTGCTATAACTTCTGGTTTATCTTGCTCCAAACAGAAGAAATAACGAAATAAGTTTCTTAAGTAGTAGGTATAATTCAAGCAAGTTCCTCCTTTTTAGTACTTTCACTTGAAATGAGCACAAGGCATGAAACAGACAGAAGTTGCTCTTCAGTTGCAATGAGCAATGCAGTGATGCTGGGTAACACTCTCTTTCTGAATGAAATGCTTAAAGTACCAGAACTGCTAGCGGCTAATACTGATTCAGTTTTATTGTCTTTTGTTTTCATGTTGTTCATTCCTTTTCTCTGGCAAGGAGGTGCTCCTCTCTTCAAAAGCCCGTTCTGTAGTGGGGGAAGATGGAAGAGCTGGATGTAAGCTCTCCCATGGTTAACTGTACTTCTTCCTCTCCCTAGGAAAGTGCAGGAGCAGAGGTGCCTGTGTCAGGCTCACAAGAGATGTGCCCAAGGAAGGGGTTGTGTCACGTCTACAGTAGTATATAAAGGAAGTGGATGGTGGGGAAGGAGAATGTTCTAGCACTAGCTCTTACTACTGCACTAGCTCTAGTTTTATAGACACTTTTCATCCATTTTGTAGCAGTTTCTTAATGTAGGACAAATGGTAGATTCACTTCCCATAGCAGTAAGATGCTTATGAAAGTATGGCATTAGTTTACATGCATACAAAGAAGAGTTGAGGAAAATGAATTATTTACAGTACATCCCAGCCTTTCTAAGCTACGCTGTGTGTAGAATCAGCCACGTAGACTTGAGAAACTTGGAATCAAATTTAACCATGTAACTTTGTACTGCTGTCATGTAATCTTGCTGTTGCTGTATAACAAAATGACTTTTAAAATGACAAAGTTGAGACAGCTTGCTAAATGTAGCGTAAATTCTAACACTTTCATTTTATTTGTATATATAAATACACACACGTATATGAAATAACATCTGAAAATACGAATCTGGTATTTTCAGAAGTTTCTATAAAATTATACATTTTGGCGATCTTTAAAACGTTGTAATTAGAAATCACTGCTATCGGTTATTCTAGACTGATGTCTTCTCCTATCTTTTGTTTTCAATAACATCTATTGTCTAAGTTATATAGGTTTTGTTGATTCAGTGACTACAGCTGCAAGGATCTTAAAGCATGACTGCCACGCTGTTTAGACCACAGTTTATACCTTAATACCCACCCAAGTGGAAAAAACTAAAAAGGAAATACCTTAAATGAAGTCGCAAGTAGCGCTTGCGTTCTGAAGTGATTGTGGTTCTGAAAAAGATTATCTGTGAAATATTGTCAGCTGGATAGAAATCGAATATCAGGCTAGCAGTTTTTATTTCAACCTGTAATGAGTTGGAAGTTAAACGAAGCACATTCTAAGGTGCTATGTAATTGTCAGTTGTCACATGGTGAGTGAACATGTAATGCAATGTTTCTTTCTTTTCTATGTCAGCGCACGTCTATTACCAGAAAAGCTTACTGTTTACACAACACTAGTTGGGTTACTGAATGCCAGGAACTACAACTTTGGTGGAGAATTTGTAGAAGCCATGATACGTCAGCTTAAAGAATGTCTGAAAGTCAATATGTATAATGAAGCTGTGTATTTAGTAAGTGGCATTTTTCACATCTTTTTCTCCTCCTCCTCTTGCTGTTACTCCCACCCCAACTCTTTAAACTGATTTGCTGTTCCTTTTAATACTTAGAAGAGCTGGAACCCTTTTTTGTCTTATAGTCCTTTCTGGCATCAGCATGCAGCGCTCTGCAGATGTGCCAGGAGCATTTGTGTTACGAAAGGTTTCTCCTTTCTAAATGGAGAAAAATAATACTACAGTTGCAAAACTGACTTCCAATTGCTTATTTGCCATGTGACAAATCAGCTCACGGAAAATACAAGCTGCTTTCCCTCCCACTGCCCCCATTTGTTCTGCAGTCAGATATGAAGGACAGGTGAAAGACATTCATTTTTACTTGTGTTCAAAGGTGTATGTTGTTCTTGTGGTTTCCATGGGGGAGTGGAAAAGAAAATGAACGATCTGGTTCTTAAGAGCTGTATTTGACTGTTACCAGGCCTATGTTTTCATGCTGTTAGCAGGGGATGAAGATCAAGCAGGTAGTTTTCAGCGCAGTCTCTCTTTGAAAGCTCATTTACCGATGACTGAGACGGTGGCAGTAGAAGGCTTTGCTAATCTCTGGCAAAGACTTTTCAAAGACTGTTCAGTGCAGTGGATCTCACGAAAGTAATAGTGCTGGACGTTTCTTCATCACAGTTGCTATTTGAGTGGTGAACTGTTTCCTTAGTCCAAATTGGTTTCCTACTTTTTTAATTTTAGTGATCTCATACCATCCAGAATAGAGATACGCCTGGGTTTCCTTCTGTAATAAGAGCCAGTCTGCACGTCCTTAAATGCGTACTGGTGTTTCCCACCCTTTTTTAAGTAGAAATCTTGTGCTTGCAGTATTACTGGCGTGAAACAGACTACAGATATTATAAAGAGCAATATCCTTGACAGTGCTTATGGGGCTTGTTTTTCAGGGTTGACAGATGGTTGTGTACAGTACGTGGTATTTCTGCCTTCGTAGTACTGAGTACTATATTTTTGTTGATGGCTGGTTTCAGTAGTTGGAGTAATGTTTATTTGCTCTTGTGGAGTCAGTTACAAAGATCTCACAGCTTTTTTTGTTTTTTTGCTTTATTAACAAAAATTAATAAAACAAGGGTTTTTTTTTCCTTATTAGGTTCGTTTTCTATCTGATCTTGTGAACTGTCATGTAATAGCTGCACCTTCAATGGTAGCTATGTTTGAGAACTTTGTGAGTGTGACACAGGAGGAAGACGTACCCCAAGTAAGCAAAAGATCTGTAACCTCATCTACTGTTGTTTTCACAGTCAATTGTATTGTAGCATTGCTTCTGTGTTTATGCTTAGAATAGGGAAGATTTAGAGGTAATAATCTAAAGGAACTTTCATGTGTAGGTTCCTTAGGAGCTGGCTGGTAAAAGGAGCCTGTAGCAGTTAGAAAATACATGCATACAATAAGAAGGCTTGGTGTTCTATAGTGAGGTAGCTGAAGTGAATTCATTTGACCTTATTTTTGGAGTGTTTAATGCCTTTTTCTGGCCACCTTTTTTGTGCGGTTGTGATACATAGTTAACCTGCAGAAGGACACCAGAAGTTATAATCTCTTTTTTTTTTTTAATATCTTCTTATCATGTTTCAAGTTAAATATAGCATGTTTCAAGCAGGACTATATTTTTCATGGTTTGTCAATCCAGCAAGCATAACATGGGCTATGAGAATTGAGTTTAGCTCTGTGCTTAAGCTTCTTAAAGAAGATTAAAGTCATGTTAAGGTCATCGTAACATGTAACTTTCACTGCCTGTCATAGGCCTATCTAGGAAGAGACAACCAGTAAATCATTCTGCTGATAGATATGATCAGAAGAAAACTCAGTTCAACTGCAAAACTGTTTACAAAGAATTCTTCCTGCAGCTTGGCAGCAGTAGCTTTGAATGACTTGAGCATTTGAGTAAGAGACTTTTTGAAACTTTAAACTGCAGTTTCCCAGGAGAACGTGTCGAATTCAGTTTGACTCAAAACTTTTACGTTAAACTGTGCTGTGTAAAAAGGAACCTTGTCAAATAGAGGCACAAAAATAACAAAGTAAAATCCCTTATTCTTATCATGGATGCCTTTTCTGTTGTGAGAGGAATAGTCTGATACACTACATTTTACTGGCTATATAGCAAAAGGTGAATTGATATTGCCATCGTTTAACTGACCTTTTTTTTTTTTTCCTAATCTCCATTATTAATAAGGTTGAAACAAGTCAGTTGAGCCAAGAGCTGTAACAGACTCTTAATTTAGTAGTTTTGCCCATGCAGTGTTTAATTCAGTGTCTTGTGAATGCATCTCCAAATATGCTGTGTGGTAGTTATCTGTCCTTTGAAATGTGCTTTCATGTTGTCAAAACAGTCTGATGCTTGCCTTTAGGAACTTCCCCTGACAAGTGGCCTTAACTGCAAGTATTCATTGCTCCTTTAACTGGAGCTGTTTTTTAGGTTCCCAAAATGTACCGGTTTTGCTAATGTTTGACTGAAGTAAATTTAAAATGGGATGCTCGTCTGAAATATTTTGTCGCTTACTTGTATACTTAGATTTCGTTATTTCTTTCCTGTAGGTGCGATGTGACTGGTATATGTTTGCGTTTCTGTCATCTTTGCCTTGGGTTGGAAAGGAATTATATGAGAAAAAGGATGCCGAAATGGATCGCCTCTTGTCTCAGACAGAAAGCTATCTAAAGTAAATTGTAACCCATTAAAAAAAACTTATTGATATCTATACGATCATGGATTAATTGCTTTGTTTATTGTTCATTTACAAATACTCTAAAATCTTAGATATGAACAGTTCTGGGGGGAAAAAAAAAAAACCCTGGAGTATAGAACAGATTGAGAGGTTTTTGGAATTTAAAATAAAGTTTAATTCTCTCTCTAGTGTTAGTGTAGGTTGAAAGTCTTATTTTGGTCGTACTGGAGCACCTGCAGGTATAATTGTGCTTTGAATAGTGACTGATTTTGTTGTCAAAGTATTCTGCAGTGTATCTGCTTTTTGTCTCGCTATTTAAAAAGTTAACGCTACCGTCGAGATACGGTAATAGTGGTATTTTATGTTTACAAACCAGCTGTTTATATGTTATAGACTTCAACTGAAGAGATGGAATAGTAGTAGAACTGCAGTAAGAAAACACTGCTCTCCAAGGTCAGCCTTCTAAACGTTAGATTTTATTTCCTGTGTAAACAGGCGCCGCCAGAAGATTCATGTACCCATGTTACAAGTTTGGACTGCCGATAAACCTCATCCACAGGAAGAAGTGAGTGGACTTTACTTTGCACTCTTTCAAAAAGTTTGAAAAACATTTTTTGGCTCAAGGGTTCTTTTTCAGAACTGTAAAAGTAAAAGGTGTTTCTAAAAATGTTAATACTTTTGCATTGTCTCCTATTTGTCATTATGCCCAATGCATTCTAGGTAAGGAGTTCTCTTCTAAGTCTTGGGCCTAAATTAGAGGTTGTATTGGGTGAGTAGGAGATTGTTTTGTTTTTGCTGATGGCTTCCCTGAGGAAATATTACTAAATGAGGAATGGTTACAAAATGGAGTATTCTTTTGGGAAGTGCAGCGATACGGCTTCATGCTAAAAGGACCTTTGTGAGAAGCAGAATGTAATTCCTTATCCCTTAATGTTTTCCCTGCAAGAAAGAAATCATTAGCGTTTTTTTGTTTAGTTTTTTTTTTTGTAGTGGCTTGGCTTTCTCAGCTCTAGAAAATGCTAAATAAACGCATACAAACTTATGAAGCAGTGACTGTGCAGTAGTGTTTCAAAATTAAACAGAAAATATTGGAGGGGAAAGGTGATAAAAGCAAATTCCATTCCAAAACAGCCATATCTGGTGTTTTTATTTTCCGTCTCCTCCCTCAACTGTTCTGAGGACAAACTTAATTGGAAAGCATGATGAGATTTAAATTGATCTGGGAAGTTTTGGAACATGATCCTTTTACATTTTGTTTGCGGTTCTGGTTAAATCAGATACCTGTTCTTGCATTCCTAGTCTTAGCAAGAGTCCTGTTTATCATAGTTTGGAGAAATAAGCTGTCCAATTATGACCGACTTATCAACATGTGCTCTGCCTACCCAATATCTACATTTCCTCATTTAGTTCAGTAAAGGAGAGGTTAGCAGAGTGCATTCAAGATTACATGATACGCAGAGTACCATGAGCATGACTCCTCTCTTCAGGTGAACTTGTTACTAGTTTTGTCCGTGTCTTGTAAGGTCTAGTAGTCTTCAGTAAATACAAACCAATTGCATGTAAAGACGTTTCTTGTACTAATTATAACTTGAAACTCTCATTCAGTAAGGCCACAGGCTCTGGGGGTCTGTGGGACCCTCCCTACTGCCCCAGATTTCTTGGACTACTTTTAGCAAGAACAAGGAAAGCAACTAAACAAAGCAAGCCTATTGCCAGTTGTACAGGTGTCTATGCCGTCTCTGGGAGGTGCTGGAACTTGCAATTGTGTTAGAAACTGTGGCAAAAATATTTAATATTCAGTATTGTAATTGTCGTGAGTGTGCAATAATTGGTAGTTGTGATCGCTCTGGGAATAGCATGGCAGTCCTGCAGAATGTCTCTTCAGCTATAATATTGATATTAGGTATCTTTTAATACCAGCAATAAGCGTTGACTGAAGTAATGTTCACAGCTGCAGTCAGTCTGTGGTCTTGCTGACAGATTGAGACGGCTACAGTCTGCTTGGATTCCTGGGCTGCATTCTGGTGTTTAAAACCTTGACTGCAGTTAAATTTTATTAACACAATGGTGTGTGGAATTAGGAGCAACTCTGGTGTGTAGCGTTCTCAAATTATTGCTTGGCTTCCTGAATCAGATGATCTGTAATAAGCAGTTTAAGCAGCTGTTTTGTTTTTTTTCTGAAGGTAATATGAAATTTAAGAAATGTTTTTGATAATCCAAGAACCTGCAAGATTTGTTACAAGGATCAGCGTATCTGATGTTTCTTATTTTTTTTCCTTCAGTATTTAGACTGCCTTTGGTCTCAGATTCAGAAGTTGAAAAAAGACCGTTGGCAAGAACGACACATTCTGAGGCCCTACCTGGCTTTTGACAGCATTCTTTGTGAAGCATTGCAACACAATCTGCCTCCGTTCACTCCTCCACCTCACACTGAGGACTCAGTGTACCCAATGCCAAGGGTTATTTTTAGGATGTTTGACTACACAGATGATCCTGAGGTATGTGGTTGCTGTGGGAGAGAGGTGATTTTTACAGCCAGGGTACCAAGGCGATATTGGCCAAATACTGTCTCCCTTCTCCCAGAATGGCTGGTGGTTTGAAGACACAGCAGCCTTAGGTCACTAGGTAACTTAGTTAGCTAAGTTACCAAACAAAGCAGATCTGTGAGGAGAAGAACTTAAGTGGGGTTTTTGGATGCTTTCACTCAAAATGGCTGTGTTGAATGGCTTCTCTAATGGATTCGCTATACTATGCTCATATAACTGCATTCAGATAGCAGCGTTTTCCATTATATTGCTGACTTTGGTCTTTTCTCAGCCTAGTTACCTACAGGACTGTTTCAAGACTGTTCTGCAATATGCATCAATGTCTTTCATTGGAGGAGTATACAACAAAGGAGTGATTGATTGGGTTAGATCAAAGGTCTATCTGGCACAATGTTCTATCTCCAGCATTGGTCAAATGCATGGCATTTGCACAGCAGAATGCGTGTTTTCCCCCAAGTAGTTTCCTACCTCCCTTTGCCTGGTACGCTGTGGCTTAATTTGATGACCCCTGATTTTTGCAACAAAGGAGACCGTGACCTGTGTTTTCTCTACTCTGCCCACACTATTCCTGACGTTGTAAGTCATCTTCATGTTTTGGCTCACCAGTATCTTTTCCAGTCTGCATGGGAGTAGCCTGCCTAATTGCTTCTACGCAGAATCCGTTCTGTACTCTAGGTCATTTTTCTCGTATTTCTCCAAACTTTTTCTAGTTTGGCTGTATTGTTTTGGGAGCAGGTAAGGAGGAGAGTGGAAAACAGGACAAAAACTGCACACAGCATGGAAGAGCTGGTGGATACTCCATGAACTTACAATGACGTTCTCTTATTTTGTTCCTTTCCTTTCTGTGATGAATCCAATATTAATTTTGGTTTTGAACACTGATCTGAGGTTTGCATGGAGCTCTGTTACAAGTGGTTCCTCCGTCCTAAACGGTACAGGGCAGCTGAGAGATCAGTGTGTTTGTGTGAAAGTTGGACTAATTTTTCCACCTGTAAATACAGGTAGGATGGTGTGTTAACCATGATACCACCATGAACAGTGATCTTTAGTGAATTTTTTTTTTTTTTTTCCAGGGCCCTGTCATGCCTGGCAGTCACTCTGTTGAACGATTTGTGATAGAAGAAAACCTTCACTGCATCATCAAATCGCACTGGAAAGAGAGAAAGACTTGGTAGGGAGATGCTTAGGGCTGTGGGGCCCAGCACCACTTGTACTTATTGCAGCTTCAGTAGCATCAGGGATAAGTGGAGCCCAGCACTGGTCACCCAAGAGCTCAGGATTAGAGCATTTGGAGAACTATAATTAGTGTGTGGAATAATGTAAGGCTGTAGGATCCAGGGGAACAGGGGTTTCTTGGGAAGGGAATTCCTAGATAGTCTTGGATGTGTGACAAAAAAAATGCGTAGGCACACAAGACTATTCATGCGTTCCACTGCAGAGAGTGTGTTTGTATGATGTTTCCTGGAATTTTGAAGCAGTTGATTTGTTCAGGCATAGCCAGCCTTGAACTGATTCCGTCTGTAGCTGGTCCTGCACTGCAGTTCATAAACCTGCTTTTGCTCTTCCTCTTGTTGTGTTCTTCTCTTCAGGGTTGCACTGCAGAAATGAACTAGCTCTGGGGAGCTACTGCAGGTCCAAACAATTTTATTAGTTTGAATTCAGCAATGCTAGAAGTAGTCCAGCTGCATTTCTTCATTTCTGCCTGAGTAATTAACCTGATGTGGGTAATTGATAACCCAGATGATTTGCTGCAGATAGTCCCCTCTATCATGCTTCCAAGTAGGAGCTACCAAACTTGGTATACAATGTAAAAAAAAAAAAAAAAAAAAAAAAAAAAAAAGACAGAAACATTGTTTTTTACGTTGGATGCGATGTAGGTTTTTGGGTGCAGCTTTTTGAATCAACAGAAACTAGAAATCCAGAGTTGTTGGAAGTCACTGCAGCGTGTGTGGGGGTAGGTTTTTGTGTGTTGTTTTATTTTTTTAGTTCTCTGAGGAAAATAATACTAGAGGGAGGTTTAAGAGGTGCCAGAGAGCCGGAACTAAAATCAGGAAAGTAGCAGTTGTTTACTTGGTAATAGCGATAATGAGCTGATTAACAGATGAAGCGTTTGTAGCCTGAGGATTTCTGATGTAGCCCACTAGTTTAATAGTTGAGAATGACTTGAAAGCAGATCTGTTTTTTGGAGATTTTTTCCTCTTCGTGTACCAGATTTGTCTGTTAGGTGTTAGTGAACGTATGCCAGCATTCAGATCTCCCTGACTGTTTATGCAAAACTGCATTTGACTTGGTATATTTTCAAGGGAAGTAACTGAACAGAGATAAAGTATGTCCTTACAATCCATAGTTTAGGCAATACTGGTATGATCTTGTGCTGTTTCTGTTGTAAGCGTTCTGTGGGTGAATGGACAGTCTTTGGAAGAGTAGTTGATTTTTGTGTGCTTTGCAAGGTAAACTCTTGCGTGGAGTTAAGCTTTCCCTGTATCTCTGCTTGATGTTTATCATGTATGCAGTGTTGTGTTCTAAACTAAATGTATCTATTATTTTGCAGTGCTGCACAGCTGTTGAGCTATCCAGGAAATAACAAGATCCCCTTGAATTACCACATAGTAGAGGTATGCGTTTTATAAATAACCTCTCTTGTGGCTTCTTTATTTTCCAAGTGACGCCTCTCAGTTAACAGCGTGATAAAGCCATTAAATTTGCTTTGATTTCAGAGCCTTTCCGTGCTGAGTTAAAGGAATGGCTTAAATGGGCAGGTTCCATACAGTTGAGTGCTTTTTTCCCCCTCTCCCCCTCTATAACATGGTGCCTAGGAGCCTTAATCAGGTGAACAAGATCCCTTAGTGCATTGCTATAACAGGTTGTAGTGTTTCTCAGGCTTTTCTGGAAGTTTTAAATATGCTATTTGTTCTCATGTACAAGGAATTTGTAAGAGATGGCTAAGTTTGAGTTGCTTTCCGTTTTTAAAAAAAAAAAAAAAAAAAGGAAAAATAAGGAGGTGACTAGTAAGCGAAAGGGCATGTGGAAATAGGCACAAATTAAAATACAGGATATTCCATCCAAATATCAGAACAATCTTTTTTTTACTCTGAGGGTGGTGAAACATTAGGACAGGATACCTGGAGAGTCTGTGGAGTCTCCATGCTTGGAGATATTCAAAACCTGACTGGATACAGCCCTGGGCCACCTGCTGTAGTTGACCCTACTTTTTGAGCAGAAGATTGGAGAAGACAATCTCCAGAGCTTCCTTGCAGCCTCAACTGTTCTGGTGATTCTGTGTGTGAACCTTTTAAGTCACTTGGAATGACTGTGTTACGATGCCACTGAAAAGCACTTCCAATAAAATAGTGGTGTGTTTTCTTCTTGGGCTTCCTCCGTATTGAAGGATTTTAAATAAGCATAATATAGATCAGAAGAGGAATGTGGGTTTTTTTTTTTTTCTTACTGCCTCTTTTCAAGGGCCTACTCTCAAGATGCAGAGCTGTGTAAAACTTCATTAATTTCCATCACGTATTGAAAAGTTCTAAGAGATTTCAGTAATGGTGGCAACTTGTCGTGTAAAGGCTTTATGAGGAACTAACTAAGTAGGAATTTCAGTGCTTATTACAGCGATCTTATGTAGAAGGTTTACCTTGACAAAGGTGGGATTGAAAATTCATCTTTTTACCCTAACACCAAATATTCTGAATGCTGTAAAGCTTACTTTTTGTCAGCTTGGTTGTCTTTTTGTACTCTGAATTCAGAAGAGAAATCTTAAAATAAACAGTGCCTTTCCGTCTTCACATCAAAGCATCTTCTCTGACTGTAAACACTCAGATGCTGCAAGGGATTGTATGGCTGGGTGCTTTATGCTCAACTGTACATTACCTTCAAGGAATATTGTGATTCCTGATCAAATATATTACTTTTAGGCCTTGAATTCTTTGATTATTCAGAAACTCATAGGAAGTGAAAATAACAAAGGTTTGTTTAGATGAAATTACTGGAAGAAATGTTTGGTGTACAAATTACTGGACTATAGCTGTCACAGTTTCCTTTTTTTACCCACAAGTATTTGGAATTTTTTTTAGACTATTAACTTTATTTCTTGCCCCGACTGCTCATTTTGATTGAAAGTACAGCGGTTTTAAGGCTTAGTGTGGATTTTGCAGACTTCATTCATTCAGCTTACTGCTGTTCCCTTGTAAGGTTTGACAGTCAAGTCAGTGATATGTTACTTTCAGCAACAGTTTGCCTAAGAGTTCCATCTGTGAAATTTCCCTTGCTTGGCAGAAAAGCATGGAATAATAGAAGTAATTTGGTCTAATAAATTTGAGGAAAGTGTTATTTAAGGTTTGGAGTGTAACAGTAAGGCAGAAATAAATGTAACTTGAAAGTGCTCAGTACTTTCCTAAACGTGTCTGCTTTTGAGATCTCCACGGCTACGTCTCAAAGTTTGTCAGGCCAAGCACAGAATGCTCTGTGCTAGCTAAGCCTGTGCAAAGCACTCCAAAATGTGTCCCCTTCTTTCAATAGCTTTTCAGACATATATGTGGATATTACTGGTATTTAGGAACAGAAAATGTCCAGACAGTGTCATTGGGTTGTTGGAGTGGCATGGCCTGTTGTGCTTCTACTGCTTTTGTAAAGCTTACGCTTTACAGAGCTTGGACATCTAGGTCATCAGTGCCCTTGTCTTTCTCATGGCCTGGTTCTTTTCAGAAAATGTTATACAGCAGTTTGGAGCGCTCATCTGAACATTTGATAATGAGCATCTTAGTGAATTTCAGAAATATGATTTTCAGCACAGTCTCAGGTAGTAACTTGTCACCCAGTTGTTGCTGTTTCCTATCCTGAGAGTAGGAGCAGTTTTCTGCCTAGGAGGGCTCCCCCCCCCCCACTACACACACCATATTTGTACTAGCAGTATGTCCAAATTCTGTTTTAATAGAAAGGTTTTCCAGCCCTTCCAGCCTCTGTAGGCTTTTGAGTGCATCCTTGTAATAAGAAGTTCTAGTCCCTGTTCGATTCAGCTTTTCATGGGTTGTCTGTGAAGTCTACAAATAGATGTTGATTTCTTACGCTAGTAAGATTCTTATATACAGTTTACTTGTTTAAACTTCAGTCTCTCTTCTATGTTTATTCAGAAGTTGCTACGGAGAAACATGACTGAGTATAATGAATCAAAGTTTCCCAATGCCTTTGACATAGTTTAAATCTAATTGAGAATGGCGTATAAGCTAAACGGAAGTTCAAACATGAATGCAGTATAGTCCTCATTGCTTTTAGTCCTGGTGGACTTGCATGCTAAGACTGTAGGCCGGCTTGAAGATAAAACCACAAATGCTGACTGCAGGATTGTTTTTGTTTTTTCTTAAAATGATCCTCAGCCAAGGGCTTCAGAGCAAATATATTTGCTGTTTTAAATACTGACTGCAGTTTTCAGTTGAAGGTTGTGGCTTTATTTAGAATCTAAGCACAGGTGTAATTGTCATGCAAATAGTCTTTCGTACTAAATGCTTATATTTCATTTGACATGTTTAATATTTCTGTTATTTGTTAGGAACAGGTGGTTTGGGCTTCCTTCTTTGCCCAGCTCATGTGTTAACACTGCATTAGCTCATGTTACAACTGTATGGACGCTTCTACATTTTTTGGGAGTATTTGTTGGATGTAACAGGTGTATATTCTGGGGCTATATGCAGAGTTAATATGAAATGATGAGGGCAGTTAAGGTGGACTGTATTTAATTGCTGTGCACTGTTAGCACTGTCTTTGCAAGTTTCTCTATTATTCCCGGAACGTGATTTTGACAGAATAGAATGGATCTGTTTTTGGTATGCAGTTGCTTAAGAGTGATTTCACTGTTCTGAAGCTGAGGGGGTTGTGTTGGCCGAGTCTGACTGTGGTCTGCTTCTGTGCCTTCTTCTCTTACAGGTAATATTTGCAGAATTGTTTCAGCTTCCATCTCCACCACATATTGAGGTCATGTACACAACACTCCTCATTGAACTGTGCAAACTTCAGCCTGGCTCTTTACCACAAGTTGTATCCTTTCTGTGCGCCTGAAAAGCATTTTAAAAGTGGCATCTTTATTTGTTTTGTTTCGCAAAAAATGCGATAGCAATAAATACTGGCAATAATATATTTTACAGCAGCTGCATTAAACTTCACCTGTAACACTTAGGTGAAGGAAGCATAGCCCACTAACCACAAGTCTGGTCTTCCTTAGCTTGCCAACTGGGCAAACTCTTCAGCCTCCTGGAGGTTGTTCTGATACTTTCACCTTCTCAGTAAGTCCTCTTTTAGCCCAGAGATAAAGTGCCAGCTCTCTTGCTTGTCACTGTACCCGGTTTAGATCTGGACAGTGCATGGTGTGATTATAGACATTAGAGGAAGTTACATGGTTACAGGCTCAAAGGAAAAGAAGTGATCCAGAAGAGATATTCTGTTGCAATGACCCTGTTAATACTCCTACTCTTTTTTTAAGTATGAAATAATAGTGCATGATGTTAAGTAGCTTGCCTGAGTTCACACCCAAGTGGACAAGGAGCGTTTAAAAGGTCAGTCATCTGACAGCTCCACCAGGTTATCTAAATGCTGAAGAAGGAAGAATAACTCTGGGCTAATTCTGAGTATTACAGTGCCCCTGGGTTTTTTGCCATTTTAGGTAGTACTTTTAGATCAAGCTACAGACTCTGAGAATGGAGGATTGTTGACAGGTGCCTATCCGCTGTTAATTTCATTCCCAAATTTTTCTTCTGCTTCGTGGTATCACTCACTGTGAATCTCATAATCTCAGTGATTAAAGCTTGGTCTAGTCCTAGATTTGTGTTGACCTCTGTGCAGTAAGTGTTAATATTTAACAGGGACGCCATGACAAGGGACCAGGGGTTCGGGGCTCTTTAGATAAGGAAAGTGTAGACATACTTTTTCAAGCCTTTAGCAATAATCAGAGACAGTTTGGTGTAAGCATCGACAGCAGCTTGTGAAGCTAGAAGGGCTAGACTACCGAAGTGTTCTCTGTAAGGAGACTCGTGCTTTTTCGTATCAGTGGAGTTTTCATTATCACGTGATGGGATTTCCAGTTTCCTGTACAGGCAGCAAAAGCCGTCTCATTGTAAGAATGGAAGAAAAAAAAAGTTTAGATTAGGAGACAGGTAGTACTTACTGGTCTACGTGCCTTCTCTGCCCCTCTCCCCCCTCCCCCCCCCCTTTAGATTTACTGGGATTTACCAGATTTTAGAATAGACACAAGGAGCTATCAGTAGGCAAAAGTGATGAAATTGAAAGCAGTAACATCTGATTTATCTAATGCTTTTCTGTTAACCTTAATAAAAAAAAAACTTTCAGCTTGCACAAGCCACAGAAATGCTCTACATGCGTTTGGATACAATGAATACAACCTGTATAGACAGGTAAATACATATTTTGAAGATAGTAGAAAACGTTTTTATTTTTTGTTGTGCGTTGGGTGTTGGTACATCTGTGAACGGAATCATCGGAAATCCTTGTTGTGGTTCTTTGCAAATGCTCTGTACAAAATGGTTTTGGGCTGTGGACTTGGGCCGTCTAAAGAGAGGGTATGAGACTTCTGCTTGCCTCTCCTTCCCAGAAACACTCCCCTGAGGGTTGCAGGTCTGGCCAGCTATACACCACCGTTAAGATCTGTGACAGCTTTTCCACGTTCAAACCCTCTTCTGTTTTATCCTACTCTGTCTGCTCCTTATTGTTTCTTAGAAGTGGGTTGGAAATGGATTTAGGGCGCACATGCCACCTAGAGGAGGAAAGTGGTGGTGATTTTTTTTTTTTGTCTTTTGAGTGAAATGTACGTTATGTAGGAGAACTATTAAAAACTATGCAAATCTCCTGATTCATAGTAGGTTTAAATTTTATTTGTTATTTTAATGTCATCCGTTCGTGTTGTGCAGCAGAAGAGGAGAGACTGCCTGTGTGTCTACAAAGGCTAGTTTCTGACTCTCTGAACTCAGTCTTCTGTATCTGTCAGCATAGATGGCTGTATATTGCTGGGATGGCTTCACAGTGGAGAATTTAGGCTTATCTTTGACAAGCAGAAAACATAAGAAAATCTGAGTGAAAAGCTTGCACTTCTGGTATTTAGTGGAGCTTTTTTCTTTTCATAAAGGTTTATTAACTGGTTTTCTCACCACTTGAGTAACTTTCAGTTCCGTTGGAGCTGGGAAGACTGGTAAGTCTGTCCTTTTAATTCAAAGTTGATATTGCAAGTTCTTTAAGCTGTCAAACATATCCAGCAAATGTCACAGTGGAGTGGACCTGTTAATTGCTTCCTCCAACTCTTTGGAGATCTCTCTCTTAACCTGTTTACCACCATTCTGTGGCAGATTATCTTCATATCTTTTTAGTCATTGTAATATCCCTGGGTAACTTTGTGATGAATCTCAAACCGGTACAGGATTTCCCTAAACAGGGGAAATAAAAACATGATTTCCTTCTTGATTTGTCCTGTCCTCTGTCAGTTGTTACAAAATTTTCCAAAACAGCTTGCCTTTAATGACTTGCCTTGACTCTTCTTCCCTTTGGTTCCTGTATTCATTGTTTAATGTTGCTCTCTGTCCTACCCTAAACCTTTCATTATAACAGTTATCCTTGCGTGTCTTTTTTCCTCTCCCCCCCCCCCCCCCCGCAAAATCTTTGCACCCTAAGTTCCAGCAGACCTGGCCCTGCCATCTATTCTTACGCCAAATCCTAAATCATACCTTTAGCAGGAGATCTGTGCACTCTCTCAATGTCTAACCACAGCTTCCCCACAGCTTTGCATTCCAGGTACTGTGCTGTAAGCTTATGTTTATCCTGTAGCTCTCCCACATAAAGTAAGGTCACCTGGGATTAAGCCCTCCCTGTAGTCCCTGCTGCTTCAGCCTGCTACTGTCCATGCTTTCCGTAGCCCAGTGTGCCCAGTTGTCCTTGTGGAGAGGGTTGCAGCAGTTTTCACTCAAGTTCCTTGTGTTGTCCCCATGTGGATGTAAGTGCTTGCCCGTTTTCCTAACATACGTTTATGTTGGCTGACCAGGAAGCAGCCTACGATCAGTTGTTTTTTCTTTGCCCGAGTGCCCTTTGCTGGGAACACTTACGTCAGTCTTCTCCCAAGCTGACGTTTTTCACAAAGTTTTTGAATGTAGCTATTTGAGACTTTTCTTTATCTGAAATGCGTTTTGAACGTCCAGAAGTTTGGAAGTAGCGTGAGGGAGGAACAGAAAATGGAATGACACAAGGTTTGTTTCCCTCGAGAAAGAAAAAGCAGACTGACTGCAAGACAGTGCTTTTTAATTTTAGGGGGTGGGGGGGGGGCTACTCTACACTGTACAAAGATGAGATTGTAAGATTGATAATAGCCAGTGAGGAAATAGGGATAAACTGCCTCATTATCTTAAAACTGCCTACACTGTGAAACGGTCCTAAGCAGTCTAATTATGCATAGACAGTAAACGTGTTGTACCTGCTAGACCAAGCCAAAAAGATTAGAACACGTTCCTTTGCTAAAGGTATTGCATTTTGTTCCTTTGACAGGTCAGATTGTCTTACTCAGGACCTTGAAAAGCCCAAACCCAAATTTGTGAGAGAGGTTTTAGAAAAATGCATGCGGTAAGTGAGGCTTCTTAACGTCTTCCTTTCCTAGTTGCTTTCAAAGCAAAGGTTGATCGTTGCTTCCGGATACCGTCAGGTTCCTTTTAGCTTGACTCTTGTCCTAGGCATATATGTACTGTCAGTTTAGTTTCAGTTAAAAAGGTTTAGTCTGTTTGTACAACTTTATTCTGGATTACCTGCTGTGGGACACTCGCAACGCTAATTCCAGTAGATTGAGAGAGAAATAAACGGAGCAAATGGTAATGACTAGGTTATGCTAGTTATGCACACTTACAGTTATAAAAAGAGGCAGAGAAAGAAATAGATTTCATGCAGTATTCCTGAAAAATATGGGTCGTTCACAGAAATAGAGGGGACTGAACGTTAAGTCGTTATAAAAACTAAGAGTTTGATCTCGATTCTTCTGGGTGACTCTAATTTTCATTGACCTTTCTGGGGAAAAAAAAAAAAAAGTACAAGAACGCTGAGTCAAGACTGAGCTTAAGGTTGTTGATATGGTGGGGTATAGGAGGGAGAGAGCAAAGTGTTCGAAAAGCCTATGTAATTCAGCACCCTGCATGACAACAGTCACCTGTTTTTCAGCAAATTCGATACAGGAAGCATGAAAATATTGTGCTACAAAATGAATACGTTTTGCCTGTGGCGTTCCTTCATTTTGCTGAAAATTCTAGTAGTGAAATCAAACATTTGTTAAGAGTGAAATAAGCTGAAAAGTGAATGAAGACCTTTTTTTTTTTTTTTTTTTTTCCTGCGTTTAATAAAGCACTTTACTAGTTGCCTACATAGCGTCTTAGTCTTTTGCACAAAGTATACTGCCAACTGGCTGCTTAATCTTTTCACAAGCTTCCGAATTAATTGTATTGAGGATGAAACACCAGTATCAAGGAATTCAAACGTAAAGTATTGACTAGTAGGTTTAGTTTAGTTAGCTCTTACTACCCACAGAAACTATGACTGCACGAATAAACATCCTGACTTTTGTTCTGTGAAAGTTAAATGTAGGAAAACCACTTTAAAGCAATGATTTGAGTTAGCTCAAAGGTAGGCCCGTTTTAATTCTGCTGCTGTGAAACTCGCTTTTTCCAGGCTCTCCTACCATCAGCGAATAGTAGACATTGTTCCTGCAACCTTTTCTGTACTCAGTCCTGCAAATCCAGTGTGCATTTACAAATATGGAGATGAAAGCAATAGTAAGTATTAAAGTTACTGAGGGGTCAAGCTGAAAAAAAAATTGTGTTTCAGAGCAAGGGAACACACAAGATTGAGTGTAATGTCAGTTGTCATGAAGAATACAGGTGAAATATGCTTGATCTTGATGTAGGTAAATAGACTGTATGTGAGCAAGTAATATAGCTTAAGTTTGGCTCTTCCTACTGTAATCGTCTTGATTACCTTAAAAAAGAAAAGAAAATCCGTATATGTGAACTCAGTCTTGCTGAGGTGGTTGGGATACAGCATTGCATTGCTTGTCAGAAGTCTAAAATTGGAAATGTCGTCCATTTTCCTTGTTCAGGCAGAATACTGCGCTCAGAAGTCAGCATAGCAAAAGATAATGTGGACTTGTTTTGTGAAGTTCAAAAAACAGTGGAATGTTTTACCAGTAAACTTGGTTTAATGAAGCGTACAGAGGCAGCAGAACATGTGAAAGTTGAGGTAGAAAGAGACTTTGTTGTTGTTGCTCTTCTTATTGAGAGCAAAGACAGTCCTAACCATAAAGGTATCATCCTCAAAGACACAGCGAGAAAAATAAGGAAGTACTATATGTTTAGGAAATTGGATGAAACTGGAGCAGAGCTTTAGAAAAGAGCTTTAGATTTATTGGCCTCAGCTCTAAAGATTCTACCAAAGGCTTAAATTTGACGTAAAAACTAGGAGACCTGTTGAGCAATATTATGGACTAGTGATGTGGCCTGTGATATTGAGAGCAGCTAGTTTTAGACATAGCTAGGAAGTGCACTTGCTTCTCTGAGAAACAAACTGAGATGTGAATTCTTGCATTCTACGTTTCTGACCTTTTTGCTTTTGTTTAGGGTCTCTTCCTGGATATACTGTAGCCCTCTGTTTAACGATTGCAATTAAAAATAAGGCTAGTAATGATGAAATCTTCAGCATTTTAAAAGATGTGCCTAATCCAAACCAAGATGACGATGATGGTAAGATTTCAGCTGTTCAGCTGTATTGCAAGGCTGTTACTCCTTTTGTATCTGATTAGCCATCCTTTGTTACTGTGGGTGTGCTGGTTAAATTAGCTGCTGTATGTTTTTCCTTCTAACAGTTGTTTTCAGTTTAGCACCAAGTGGAAACGATGCACAATTGGTAGGGTTTGTTCTGTGCGTGTCATGTGAAGAGGCAGGCCCGTTTTGCTTAATGGAGATAGCGCAACACTTGATGTAGTAATTATCAACAGAGGAAGTACAGAAGAATTTCACGTTCTCCTTGCCTTTGGCAGCAGAGCACAGTTCATGCTGTCAGCCTTGCCTCTGGCACTGAGTGCTTGTGCCCTTCTTCAGAGCTCACCTCCTCTCAACACGGTCCCATGCATGGCAGCCAACGTGCTGACTTTAGTTTCCCATAGGTAGAAATTCACAATGGGACTCCACTCAAGTTCTTTATAGCTTTGCAGCTAGAGACAAAGCTTGATTCCTAAAGCCTGTGTCTTCTAGATGGCCGGAAGGAGTTTGAGAAGTGATCTTTGAAAGCGGATTGTATAATTCAGTTTTATTTGGAAGTATTCTGCTACGCAGGCAGAAAGCAACAATGATTCAGGTTTTGCCTTGGCAGCCGGTACCATCTTTTTTGATTGTTTTCAAGGATCACCCACTAATCAGCGTTCTCCTGCCTGCCTGTCGTCACCAGCAGGCCTACAGCAGTGTCTAGGGGAATTAGCACCGTTCACCTCTAGTACTCGCATTTACCTCCGCCCAACCTTTGTACCCTAATCATCTTCAGCTTCCCCTATACTCATCCACTCTCCTTCTTCAAGGCCTACCAGCCTTCCAGCTTGATGCATAACTCTGCAGCTTCTTTGGCTGTCATTCCCTACTGCTGTCCGTCAGTGCTGTTATATGATTGCAGTGTGACTGTGTTTCTGCTACCTTCTTCGCTTACCTGGAGTTCTTTCTGCATATAGTCTCCATGACAAAATAGGAGTGTGCAGATCTGCAGCTTTTAGAAAATCTTTGCCAACTCCCTGCTCAGCATTGCCAACCCTGAATGCTGAAACTTGGTCTTTTGTGAAATGGGTTAAAACCATAAGTTGTCTTTTAAAGTTTAGCGTACAAGCTTTACTTACAGTACTTATTGTTTCAACTTTAAATAACTTGCAGATGAAGGATTTACCTTTAACCCTCTGAAAATAGAAGTTTTTGTTCAGACTCTGCTTCATCTTGCTGCAAAGTCTTTCAGCCACTCCTTCAGTGCCCTAGCCAAGTAAGTGCCATATATTATTCGGGGGCTTAAGGAACTATTTAATTCTGACAGTGAAATGCTTGATAAAAAAAACAGATCCACGATCTTCAGCAGTGTTTTAGGTGCTCCACAGTGTAACGTGGTGGTATGTTTTGGGAGAACTAGTGACACTGTTTACTGAAAGAATAGTAGTGTAAATGCTAGACTTGCATAGGTGACTGGAGTTCACGAAATGTATATATCACAGCCATATTGTCTGTATTTGGGCAAGGGTTCTATAAGTTTTAAGAGTCTCACGAGTAAGAACAAACAGATCAGTTTTGGTCATATCTGTGCATATTCATGGTCTTGACCCAAGTGTAGTTCTGTAATTTAGTTTTTTGAGAAAAGTAGTATATTACGATTCTGTGTACAACGGTGAGAAATATCTGTCATGTACTGAAAGATATTTACTAGTATTTGGATTAGATTTGCAAGTAGGTATTGCATCCTCTTAATGATAGTTTTTAAATCAAACAAATGGGACACTTTGGCACACGAGTCCATTTTAAAATCACTCATTTGCTGAGCGTTTGGAGGAACAGGTTTTATCTCCTTACATTGGAATGGCTCCCACTGCAACATCTCATACTGCCAATAGGATTCAAAAACCTTTAAGTAAGTAAGTAAGAAAGAAGACATGAACTCTTTTAAGCAGCCTGCTATAAACTTCTTTCCTCTACCAAAGCAAAATAAAATCCATTCTAAAATATTTTGGAGCGTATCCCTTAAAGAGGTGCTTTGACTTTTGAGGAATTTACCACTTTAGCAAAATGAGATGAAATAACTTATTTTTAATACTGTGTACCTGGGAGATGCTCTTAAGTGGTCTTAGTATATAGGAGGCAGTCTCACATGTGTGTTGATGAGTTATCTGTAAGTGCAGATAGAAAAATATGTAGAGTCGTTACAAAAACCTTATTTTGTCTGTACCTGGAAGCCTTGTAGAGACAGTGTTTATAGCAAGCAGTAGATAGGCTGCAGTTAGAAGTACAAGAGGCAGGGTGCTGTGAATACTTAGAGCTAAGATATTGTCGCTCCAATATTGGCAGCCCCGAGATCAAGAAGAGCCACCCAAGCTTTGTAGTTACATCACAATAGGCTGGGTTGTGAACGCTTAATAGCAGTCAGCACACTCTGCTGAAAATAGAGGTTCTAGCAGCATTTCCCTTGCTGAGGGTGTATTGGGTAAGTGTCTGAAGTTGCACAGAAAGCCATATCAAGAGCAAAGTCTAAGATTCAAAGAGAAATTTTGCTCCAGCTGTGTATGGATAAGCACGCCAAGCATGACTGTGTCTCCTGCTTTTCAGAGTATGAGGAAAGGTAGTCCAGTCGCAGGGAGCAGATTTTTCATTAAGATTTAAGTTGCTTTTAGGAGCTGTCATGTCTCTGTGGCATCTTTAGCTTAGGTCAGTTACATTCTTCAAGGGCTAGTTGTTCAAGAATTGCTGCAGATTGGCCAAAAGAAATCTTGGGACTATCTAAACCATTTGCCTCATGTCTGCTGTTTTTTTGACCTGGTCACAACCCCTCCACTGACTACTTATATCTATTGAAAGGTTTCATGAGGTCTTCAAAACACTTGCTGAAAGTGATGAGGGGAAACTCCATGTCCTGAGGGTTGTATATGAGGTTTGGAAGAATCATCCACAGGTAAGAGGTTATAATGCCACATCCCTTTGTGGGTTTCAACTCCCAAAAGGTAACACTAAGTTTTTTTTGTTTTTTTTTTTTAAAGTTTGCTTTTTGTACTTAAAAAATATGTTGTCTATTCTCTGCTCTTAGTTGAAGAAGAATTCAGATTGTATTTCCCTTTGATAACAGTGTCTAAAATGAAGACTGGGCTTAAAATATATTCTTCATTAGTGAGGCCATTTCTTCCTCAAAGTTTAGTGTAGGAGAGCAAAGGCTGTCGTTGTGACTCATGGCTTCGTGCTACGTTTGGCTTACAAGAGAAAATTTCTGCTAAAAACCTGTTCTGTTTAAAATTGGAATACTAGAACAGTCCTGTGTATCTCACAAGATGTAGAAGTCTTAACACCAAAGTAGACTAAATTCTTATGAAAGTGAAAACTTGGTTTTTTGGGGCTTGCTTTCAATTACTAGTGAAAGCCATGCAGTAAGCCACAAAGATTGTGTTGGAGTTCTGCGTGGGCAGAGTGAGTAGACCTGTAGTCAGTAACTGTTCAGAACAGAGCAGTCTAACAGTTCAGTGATTAAGTTCATTCTTGAGCCAGAGGAAATGACACCCTGAAAGACCTATGAAAAATGCCTTGGTTGTTTAAGCTCTTCGGTTTCTTCAGTGGTTGTTGCTTCCCTCAGCTGTCATTCCTCTGTAAACGGCAGTGGATAAGGAACTTGCACTGAAGTTGTTTACATTAATTACTTCTAGAATCTCTCACTACTGTGTTTGTGTTATATGTTCTTGTGTTTGAAAGCTCCTTTCAAAGCTGTGTAAGCCACTCTTCCAGATGTTATCTGAACACAAGAGACAATCCTTGTACTTGCTCCTGGGCCTCAGGTCCATTGTCTAGGGTTACTGAAGGGAGAAACTTAGTACTCTAAAGTCAGGACAGTTTTTCTGGGTGCCTAAAATAGAAGTAACGTCTTCTACAGGTATCTTTAAAAGAGAATAAAAAGAACAAAAGAGCAGTTTTTTTTTAATATATAAAACTTCCACCCAAAATGCTGTCCTTCAAAATGCGGTCGTTACAATCTGACTTGCTTTTTGCTTTGTCACTTACCTGGATCAGAAAAAATTACGTTACTAGAAGCTAATATCCATATATTTTTCCCCTTCATTCCTTTGTATGGCAGCGTGACTAAAATGAGATGGAGGTTTCAAACCCAGGCGGAACCATCGTGTTAGATTTTAATGAAGCATGCAAAAATTGCATTAAAAATGTCATATAGTGAATTTAGGAAGGTCTATTGTTTAACTTTCTCGTGGAACTTAAACTTTCTATTCCTGCATCAGCCTTATGCTTCTGATCAAACACTTTACTTTCCTTGGGTTCACGATCTCTCTGGCACACAGAAGAGATGGTATGTGGACAGCAGGACACCTACCCAGAGTCTGTTTTCATATCCTTACCCCTACTTCAGTACCTGTGATCTAAAGCCTACCATGTAGACAGAAATGTGTCTTCTAAGTTGGTTCAGAGCGTCAGCGGTGTTTGCGAGGCATCTAACGCTTCTGAACGATCTCTAATGCAGAGGGTGATTTAGCAATAAGAGTCAGTAGTTCCTGGACCAATTTAGTAAGGTTGTGGTGAGGTTCTCATGAAGAGAAACCTTTACATTGAGATGGAATGATTTCCCAAAATCCTGGGCCTGTGTTACATGGAAGACCAGACTGAGTAATCGGAGATTCTTCTTGGCATTACAGGAAGACAAATAGGGTATGGGATGCTCTCCTGGGGCTTGAGGGATGAGTCTCTGTATGATTCATTCAGTTACTTCAGTTTTTTTCTTTAAAAGGAGCTTTGTTATACATCCTCATTGGAGAATGAGTGGTTATGAGGATAAGTATATCACATATTGCAGTTCTTTGATAGTGTGGCGTTTGGGCACATGAATAACTAAGATAAATCCTTTGTTCTGAATAGCTTGGAACTGCTTTAGTAGTTGATGTCTGCAGTTGCCTACTAGATACTCACAAACCTTCTAGAGTCGTGGCAAGGCCTGTATGAAGTACTTCCATTGACTACACGGTGGTGGTTATGTCGTAAAATTAAGAGGTCCTGCAGGGAAGACCTTACTGTCACACTTGAAGACTGTTGCAGTGCAAGGGGAGTAGGCTAGTAGTAGTTGCTCCTGTTTTGTGACCATGTAACAGGGACATGTGCTCTGGCTGGCTTCTCTAATGTCAAATAACTGGGACTTATTTCTGCCATGCCTCATTTCAAACTTTGATGCCTGTATCTTTGATTTTGAGAGTGGCGGAAATATATACGCCGGTGAAGAGTGATCCATCACTCTCGTGAAAAATAAAGAAGCTTGCTAAGCAACATGTGCATGCGTGCTTTATATAATTGATGCGGCTCCCCTAATTTGAGCACCTTCAGGCTGAACTAACTAGATGTCTGCTCTGCTCCTTCGTATGACTAATGTAGAGTTGTGCTGGACCGTCTTTGGTTGCATCTGAAACTAGACTATTTACACAGATTGCACGTTACAGCAGGGCCTTTTCTTATTTTGACGGAAATGTCCATTTCTTCTTTCCCAAAATATAGATGATTGCTGTGCTAGTGGACAAAATGATTCGGACGCAAATCGTTGATTGTGCTGCAGTGGCAAACTGGATCTTTTCTTCAGAGCTTGCACATGATTTTACTAGGTAATATGCATGAACTTGTCTTGAGTAGCTTTTTCTCTATAAATTTTATTTTAACTGGCTACTATGTGGTTTTTTTCTATGAAAGCCGAGTAGTGGAAGGCAAAGGTACAACTGATCTTTTGTTTATTCTACGAAATAGTACGCTGGCGTTTTACCTTCTGAGCCGGGGTATGAATTTATAGGGCAATGCAGGAATTTTGTTAGCACGCTGTTTTGCAGGTAGCCTCTAAGCATGCCGAGGTGGAAGAGCTGTGTAAAGTATTTCTGGACAAAGACTATTAGTCTGTGTTGCATAGCTGCTAGCTTAGTGAAGTCTTGGCCTGTCATTAGGATAGGTATCTTGCCCCACCCCCCAGACCATTACTTGTTGAGAGTGGGAGAAATTTAGTCAGAAAAGTCAATTTGGATGCTGGCAGTGTTGTAGTATTTGTATGAAATAAAATGCTAGTTTGGAAATTTAATGCAAAAAATAGGAAAGAAAAGGCTATTCAGCTTTCTTACATTACAGGTATGCTTTTGTATATGTTGAGTGTTTGCTCGCTCCAGTAAATAGATGATAATCAGAAAGTTGTGTACATTCCCCCAGCTACATTCTTCTGTAAGAAAGCACATTTATTCTTAATATATTGCAATGAAAAATCATGCTGTTCATGGTCATTTGAATAAGAAGAATTTTAAATGGCTTGGTGTCTTGGAACAGTGTGTAATTTACTGTTTTGAGTTTTATGTTTTTCCTAGGTTTTATATTTGGGAAATCTTACATTCCACAATTCGTAAAATGAACAAGCACGTTCTGAAGATTCACAAAGAGCTGGAGGAGACTAAGGCAAGATTGGCACGGCAGCACAAAAGAGTGAGCAATTTGTTTGCAATTTTTGAATATTTTAGGCTAAGTTACATAAATCTGCATGTTGTCAGACCCAGTCCCTTCTGGGAAGGGACAAAATAAATATGCTTGTCAGTAAATGTGTCTGCAGACGTGTGGTCATCTGTAGCCCTAACACCAAAAACTGGACGCGTGTTCTCCATACACCTTTCTAAAGGCTGCTAAAGCCCAATAATTCAGTCAAGTCTTTAAAGTAGAGTTCAGATGTTCTTGCGAGGTTCAAGGTTTTTCTCACAAGTTTCTGTTCCAGTACAAGCATGTCTTCCACCTACCTACTGACCTTGATTCCAGTTTTTCCCGATACCAAATTTACGGTAGGCTCTTTTAAAAGAGTGCTCTTTTAAATTCTATGAAGAAGTGCATGGAAACAGTGATTTGTAGTTGAAAAGTTGGCTGTCCCCGTTCTTCTGATGCGTGCTGCTGCATTCTGACACTGGCATCGGTCTTTTTCCTTCCTTATGTGGGTGTCTTTTTTTTTTTTTTTTAATACCTTTGCATTTTCTGGATTATTACATATACCAAAGTGACTGTCAAGCAGCCACTAGTGGATTGTATTGGCCCCAGCGGGAGAGTAAAACGTGGTGTCAGTTGTGCCTCTTGGGGGAGCTGTAGAGGGTGGGATCCAAGGAAGCTGTGCTGAATGCAGTCCTTAACTCTGATAGAGTGAAGCCAATTTATAAATATGTTGTGGGTCGCAGAGAGGAGAGAATGCCCTTGCTCATATGTAGTCAGCAAGTATGATTACCTGCACAAAACCCTTGGCTAGTTCCAAAACTCTTGCCTAAGTTAGTGTCTGAATTTGGCACAACATGGCACACAAGCTGTGCAGGTTGCTTCGAAGAAACACCGACAAGTCATTATCTCCCATGAGAATCTTCATCTTGTTTTCTTTGTTTCTGGCAGCAGCCATTATAGTTGCTTGCATCCTCAATCTGCATTGGCCAGCCATTGATAAATGCCTGTGATTACTGAAGATCTGGATACAATCGTTGATCTGTCTGTGAGGCAAAGAACAGCTCTGGCACCTTGGAACAAATACACGAGTGTTTTCGTTTCAGTACCTGTATCTTGCTGCAGCTCTTTAGTTCAGAGTATTTTAAATTAATATTGTGCCATGAAAAAACATTTGCATGCAACAGTGGTAGGTCTGCCGGCTGGGGCTCAGTTTGCATCATTGTTTGTTTCTGAGGAAATAAACCCTCAAATTTTTGTGCCACCTCAGAGCGTGGTGTTGTATTATTGGATGAATTCAAGGCTTGCATGCTTTCTCTTGGGGCCAATTGGTCCTTTAACGTTTTAAGGCTAGGAAACCTGCGTAGACAGGGAAGAAATAAGTTCCTCTAGAAATAATAAAATTAAACTCGCAGTTGCTCTTCTAAACCCTTTTTATTAAAGTATTACACCACTTCGAGCTATCACAGAATCTTTGGATTGCTAGTTTGGTTTGTATGCAGTAGATGAGGTAACACATAGCCCTGTATGTTTCACAAGTTGCACGTACTCATTTTACAAATATCTGAACTTTTTAGCTGTGAATTTATGGGGTTTTTTTTGCACAGAAACAATCCCAAGAGACTGAAGCAATATCGGAATATACCTTAATCCATCAGATTATGCCTTTCCTACTGTGTCCCATTTAGTCTTGTATTGAACTTCCCTTATCTATGAGACTGCAGGTCTGGTACTGTTTATTAATTAGTCTAAGGCAATGACAACATAATATTTCCTCATTACTGAGCTGGCTGCCACCCTGTGCCTTTCTAGTCTGAGAGCATCCCCTTTGATCTTGAATATAGGTAGTCCCCACTTTGACACTCGGGGCTGCAATCTCCTGTCTTCCTCTTGTGGTAACCCACCACATCTATCTGAGCTCTAGCATAGTGTTCATTTCTTCTGAACTCTGAGATTCTGGAACTTAACACATTTGTGCAAGAGTTTTTGTTGTCTGTCTCTCTTTTCCCCCCCCCCCCCCCCCCCCCTGCC